AATACCTACAAAAAAATCAAACAAAATATAAGTAAATGTTACTAGGTTGCAGTTTTAAATTTAACACCCTGTACATAATATTAATGGAAACCAAATATATGTAAACTCAACTAACTTATTTTTTTCTAATTTCTAGTGTCTAATGTCTAGTGTAGTATAAATACTCTTTCATTTTCATTATTGTTGTGACTGTTCGTCACAACACTTTTTGTATACTCAAATAATTAATTACTTGAGATCATATATAATTAAACTTAATTAAAATTAAAGAAATGCAAATAGAGTAAGTAGTATAGTTGTTATATTGAACCCAAGAATGCCACCAGTTGTACGTGTATTGTACGGAGTGCCAATTTTAAAACTTCCGATCCTTAATATCTTTCTTGCAGTTAAAAATATGAAAAATTGGAAACACCCGTAAATTTTATTTGTAAGAGGGACACTTTTATTTATTTACACCATAGGACACTTATTAATATTTTTAGCATCCTTGTTTCAACCCCCTAGGATGGTAGGTAGGAGAACGCCCTTTAAAACGATGTGCCACTTGACCAGCCTTCCCATTTAAGATTCTAAGGGTGAAACAAAGAGGCTAAAAATAAGTGTCTTCAACCGTGTGGGAAGTTTTCAAATTAACACCCGCTATAGAAAGTTGCAGAATAGGTAAACCTTATTATGTTATAGGAATATTTTCAAGGAGTAATAATAAGGACAACACATGAGTAAGTTAATATATTTATAGACAATATTTATTTGTTGTTACTGCGTCAATATGTTTAATAAATTATAGATAAATAAATCGATTTAATATTGTTGGGCTATTATTTTGTTTGAAAGATTTCTACTTGAAAAATGTTCTGTAACTCTTTAGAGACGGAATACTCAAAACATGAAGCTTTTTTTTAAGAGATATATCTGTTGCGAGTTGGAATCAAACCAATTGAAAAATGTTAGTTTGAGTACTTAGGGTCAAGGTATGATTAACAAAATCGTTTTTATCCTTCTCTTTTAGTAATTTTATAATACTCAAAGGTTAACCAGTGTTCATAACACAATTGCAAAATCTAACTGGGAGCCACGAAGCTCCGAGGAGAATTTTTGGGCTTTCTTCAATAAAGCAGGGGCTGTAATAATTAGTCACAAAGTTTGTACATAGGCGTGACACTGAACTGTGCACTACCTTGCAGCATTCCGAAAATACAAAGGCCAAAGTTTGTGCTACGAATAACATTATCCGGAAGCTCACTGGCATAACATCAGGAGCACAGAAAGTCGCGGTCTAGTAGTTTTTCACAATTTCCTCTCATTTTATTTTTTGAGCATAGATTATTGAAATTATATCCAACACTAAAAGCATCGTCTTCCATTCCAGTTGTCCAACATGGGCTTGTAGGAAGGTTGCTATTCTCGCCAAAACTTAAAAAAAAAACGTAGAGAGCCTCTTGCATGAAACTTACTCTACTCGTTGATTTGACCCAAAAATATGGAAAAATTATCTTCTTCTATCTCAAAAAAAAGATAATAAAAATTCATAGCATCCCAAGTGAAACTAAGTGTGATGACTGATTTTTATAATTTGAAAGATAAAAATAATAGTCTCCAACTTACCGTTACTTACTTACCAACTGTACAGGGTGGGCCACTAAGAGAGGTGGTCGGCCATATCTCACAAACTATTAGTCGTATCGATTTCAAGTAAAAAAATATATAAGTAAAGTAGGTCAGGGAAATGGCTGGAAATTACTTGCAAGTTTTCCACATGGCCACAAGAAGGCGAAATTGCAATAGTAAATTTTGAATACGGATTTTTAGCAGTTTAGGACAGGCTATGGTAGGTTGCAAATAGTTTAATTCTATTCTTGACAAACTTTCAGTTATTTGTTGTGGGAGTAATATTGTTATAGCTAGTCAAATAAAGTGGTGGGGGAAAGTCAAATAACGGTTCAAAAAGTAGTTAATAGCTCCGTATTGGCTTAACCTAATTCAACGCTTAAATTGCAATTGAATAGCTCTTGATTTACATTAACACCTGCTATAAAATATTGGCCGATATGATTGCCACTTTAGCCGCCAAAGGGCGCGTTATAAAAAGTCGCTAGACTTTTTGATTTTTTTTGGAATTTAAATGGAATGACACATAATTTTTTAGCTGCTAAAAATCGACGGACATTTACCGATAAATGAGCCGAATACCCATCTTGTTGAAGAAACATGTTTACTCGCTTTCGCACCAGTATGTCTTCCAACAGTAATGGTAGTTGGTTTTGTAAAAAGTGTAAATAAATATTTCCGTTGAACTTTTGTTCAAATATAAATGGACCGATAATTCGGCCCCCAATTATTCCGCATCAGACATTGACCCTAAATCGCCCTTGATGCTCCACTTCCTGCATCTAGTGAGGGTTTGTTCTGGACCAATAACGCATATTATGCAAATTAACTCCCCGGTTGCTGTTAAAAGTAGCTTCATATGTCCAAAGTATATTTGTAGGATACTGATGATGATCTCGAATCATGTTTAGTAGCCAATGGCAATGATCCAGACGCCTCTCAAAATCCTGATGTGATAAAGCCTGGTGAAGAACAACGTGGTAAGGATGCAGTTTAAAAAAATATGTGTTAACTACAACTTTAAAGTTACACATTTAAAGATAAAAGTGTATTAAAATATACAACATTGAAAATAAAAGAATAAATAATAGATATTGTTCATATTATTGATTTACTTATGTTCTTTCAATATCCTACTAACGGTAGTCCGGGTTATCCCCAAATCCATAGAAATTGTCCTAGTACTTAAAATGAGGATCGAATTCAATATATGCCAAAACTTTTATCACATTTTCCTCTGTGCGACCACTACGGAATCTTCGAAGAACTGGACGGTGGATGCTTCCTGTTGTCCGTAATCGCTGAGCAAGACGAGTAAAAAATCTGTAATCATTTCTCGGTAAATGTCCGTCGATTTTTAGCAGCTAAAAAATTATATATCATTCCAATTAAAAAAATTAAGAAAATCGAAAAAGTTTGACGACTTTTTATAACGCGCCCTTTGGCGGCCAAAGTGGCAATCAAATCGACCAATATTTAATAATAGGTGTTAATGTAAATCAAGAGCTATTCAATTGCAATTTAAGCGTTGAATTTAGTTAAGCCAATACGGAGCTATTAACAACTTTTTGAACCGTTATTTGATTATTTCCCACCACTTTATTTGACTAGCGACAACACTAATACTTCCACAAGAAATAACTGAAAGTTTGTCGAGAATAGAATGAAGGTACTTGCAACCTACCTTAGCCTATCTGAAAGAGCTAAAAATACGTATCCAAACTTTACATTACATTTTGCAAACTTGAAAGTTATTTCCGGTCATTTCCCTGAGCCACTTTACTTATATATTTTTTTACTTAAAATCGATACGACTAATAGTTTTTGAGATACGGCCAAGCACCTGTCTTAGTGGCCCACCCTGTACAATATATCACCACAGGTATAAATGCGTAGACTCGATGTTATTATTTCATGGATATTCTCTCGAAATTATCTCTTGAATATATCGTAGAAAATTTATTTTATTCGACACTTTTGTCTGTAAACGTATTTATCGCATTTCACCGATTTACTTACATAGTTTCGATTTTAACAAATAAATTTTCCGTAGAATTATTATCTAAGCTTAAAATCAATTAAATGAATAATGTTTAAAATAAATATTAACATTGTGCTGCTATTTTAACAATCGGTTGGGCATCTGACGCAAGCGCGTTTCAATGTTGATGGGCGGTGCGATGGTAATTTGTCGGAGATGGGGTATAGGCATCTCCGACCGATCGCCAAAGCTATTTTGTGAGCAAAAGTTCTCAGCTTCTCGTGTTTTTATATTATTTGTTTTAAAAATATAGATAGCAATCTCGATGTATTTTGCAGACTTGGAATTAGATTTGAATACCACAAAGGTACCAAAGAAGCAGTAAAGAAAACATCAACAAGCGTGATTTGCAATTCAAATAATAATTGTATTACTTTCAGGTATATTCGAGATATGGAAAATACCTTAGAGAAATTTACTAAAGCCGATTTCAGAAATCACTTGCGTTTCTCAAAGTAAATTGTGCAAAATGTTTCGTTGCCATTAATCAATCACCAGGAACAAATAAAAAATCGAGGACTTTATGGTCTTTTCATAACAGATGATTAATGAATTGTATTGTCAGTCCCTAGTTGGTGAAAAAAATCAAGCTTGTATGTATGATGTGATGAAATAATAATAGTAATTAACAAAGTGATTAGTGCATAAATTTTTTAAAAAGGGGACAGCGCTGGTTTGCAGCTGTTCATAGACAAAAAAATACAGATATATGATACCACAAGAACTTTATTGGTATTTATTATGCAATACCTAAGTTAATAAGTTAAGTGAAAAAGTTATATGCACTGGGGGAAAAGTACCCAGCTGATGCAGTTAAAGATGCAACGCGCTCGTTCCCATAGCGATGCACTTTTCCCCCTTGAATATGAAGCTGGATATCTATTTCGGTTAACTTATTAACTTATCTATCTAAAAGCTGGAGCGTAACCCCCCACTCTAAAGTCAGCTGGATGCATTTTAACGTTGGTTTGCAACATAATTAATATGTCACCAAAGTCTCAGCTTTTGGGGTATTATTATTTGTTTACTATTATTTTACGTGTGTGGGAGACTGCCGCAGCTACGCCTGGAGGTCCATTCACTTACTAGTGATACCAAATAATTAATGGCTACCCTTAAACGGTCGCTGGCTCCCGGGCACATAATTCCTCGAGTCAGAAGTCATACACTTAATTAACTTATCAGAAACTTATAACCTGAGTCCAGGGAATTTACCAAAAATAGTGACTGCGAACAAAGAGGAATTGAGCAAAAAGTTAACACAGATGCAGTATCACGTTACGCAAGAAAAGAGAACTGAAAGGCCATTTTCAGATATGGCTTACTTTTAACAAGCTTTGTAAACACATTAACATCACACAGTCCAGACGAATTCAAGCAAATTGAGTTGCTGTAGGTACTTTGCTACATACATTGTATTCTTGAATGGAGAGTACAACAGTAATAAAGGTGAGTTTTCCGTCGCTTTAATGCTGCGAGCAGAAGAAAGCAATGACAAATCATGAGCTGGGCTGAATATGGTTCTGCCGCTTAGACATTTTTTAAAACTATATTGCATTTTGAATCTGGATCGGCCATTTGAGTAGACTTTATTTAACATATCAAGCTTCAAAAGTTAAAAATTTCAGGAAAATAGAGCAAAAGACATTCATAAATTATGCCTTTTACACAAAATATTTAGCTCAAAGGGCTCAAAAATTGAAACTGTTTCCACCCATGCAGGGGAGAATGGTGAACTTTCCAACGTCGACAGGTCGTTGAAAAGGACATTTTCAGAAGAAAAGTGTTATTTTACTTAGCGAGGGGATAATCTACAACGGAAGTCACTTTTCATTATTGAAATCCAGAGAGCCCAAAACCAGATACATAATTACTTTTTCTTAACGTGAATTACACGGTTCTTACACACATTATCAATAAGAACAGTGCGAGTTTTAAATATGTTTTGATCAATCTTAACTCGACAAATTTGACACAGTAGACTGCTTTACTATGTAAAACAGGGGTGTTCTGTTGCGATCCAATCTTCATTGCGAATTTTTGTCGCATTTTGCAAACCGTTGACAAAAATCAGACTTTAGTGCGATTGAAGTAGAAATTTAAGCGCTGTCAACCACATGAGTCTTCTATACGGTGTGAAAATTCAAGTTACTACTTGTTCTAAATCGGAAGTTCTCAATTTTTAAAAGAAAGCGTGCAGTTGAGTAAAACTGCGAATTTTCCGTCGCTCTTAATAGTGCAATCAAACTGAAGCATTTACAAATCATGGCATATTTTGCAAATGGTTTACTTTGATTCTTGATTGATTATCCAGCCTCTCACAATAGATCAAGGTAAAAAGGTTTTCACGTTTCATGACAATTGAGCAAACGATTGATCGGAGAGCGAGTATTTAATTTAGCATTCAGAAGTCGCCCCATGAACGGCGATGTTTGTTTATCTTTACCCGAGAAAGCAACTTTGTTTACGCTAAATATCCATACCAGTTCGATCGCGGACTGGAAAATTCTAGAAAATCATCAATAAGAAAAAAACTGAAATCGAACACAATCGCAATACAATGAGTCCCCCAAATGGTCAGCGATCAAACGATTATATTATTATGTGAGTACTGTAGCTCAGTGCGTTTTTTATGTGATAAACACCTTAATTTCGCAGGAGTTTTATCGGAAAGCAGGACATTTAGTTCAGTCTATTATGGGCAAGGGACTAAATTGGTAGTCGGTTCTTTGTTCATAAACGGGATAAAAATACCAACTTAGCGCCATTTAGGCACGAACGGTCGACCATCTAACATGTTAATTGTTGAGTGTAATCCACATTTATTTTCAACTTTGTGTGGATTCTCATTGTGGGCTCGTGTAGTGTGTGCTTTTTGTGGTTTCATGGACAGACAATGGAGAATGCGGGACCTTTGCAAAAAGCAGGTAAGATTATTAATCTATAAACCCTTAACTTGAACTTAGTTGAGTTTTCGAGAAACATATAAAGTTTTATTCAGTTTCCTATTTCTTTTTCTTTCCAATCAAATCACTGGGTTCTCGACTAAGTTTATGTAATAATACAGATTTTCCTATTTTTTACAAGTGGTAGAATGCAGCTTTCGGTAAGTTTAGCATTGCTTTTACCGTGAATGATCCTGGCCAACCCATTTTGGTTTTTCGCTGTTTTAATTTTTCTTAACCAGCATAGATACATGTATGTATAATGCATAAGTATGCATTTCGCAGAGGTGATTAAATAATCTGTTTGTCAAAAATGTAAGCAAATCATTTTCGGCTAAACGATTCGTGTTAGGAATTTTCAGGGGCTGGGATCCGTCGGAATACTTGCTTTTTTATTGCTATTTATTGCCTTATTGGAGGATAGCCCGTTGAAACGTTGCGTGTGATCCTGGCTAATTCACTTAGTTTATTCCAAATTTAAAAATTTAAACAATTCTTTTATGCTAAACGATTCGTGGTAGGGATTTTCAGGGGCTGGGATCGGTCCGAATAATTGCACTCTTTGCAGTTCAACAGTAATTTATAAAAAATAAGATCAACAAAAAAAAAACAAACATTTGACCGCACCAATGTCTTGTTGATTACATCAAACTCATTCGCGTAGTCGCATATCGTTCTTGAAAGCCACTACACTACATAATATTGTCAGGTCATAGAAGTATTTTCAGGACTCGCAGGCAATAATTATTGATATTTTGAGCTTCGGATACACAAGATCCAGAACTTAGTTTTCCTTATGCAACATTTTCATAAGATTGCCACTACTAACGAATGCAGTACTAGTTGCAGAAGGACTACATACCGCCAGATAGAATATGGTTGTATTTAATTGGTTTGAGTTGGTTGGAGTATTAAGATAGTATCTGCTGAACAACTTAATTTCAAACTTTATGTAAACCTTTTTGATGACGGCGATTGAATAAGCGACCGCGTTCCAAATCCTTTTTGGTGTCGTTTGCCATACTGACTATTTATTTTTTATTGTTTATGTAGCCATAAACCAAATTTACTAATAAATGTAAAAATTTTCGGTTCAAAGTTTAAATCGGCTAACGCTGTCTCTTAATTGGACATCCCATGTACATTCAATATTTCATGAAATGGCTGAACTGCAAGACTCATGTTCCTTTATCTTCCAGAAAAAAATTTTAAAAATGGTTTTTTGTGCAAGATTTTATGTAAACAGTTATTGAAAAAAACTTAAATAATGCAAAGTGTTTATACGAATTGTTTAATTACATAATGTAAAACAATTTTTAATTCAGTTATCGTTACGAAGCTTCACAATTTGGCATCTCCGATATGGCGGCTAATATTTCTCTTTCTATAAAACAAAAACGATAAACAGTAAAACTATGAAAATGTGCAATTTAATTAAGCTTGAAAGGTAAAGAAAATTCGTTATTCATTGCATAAATCATCAATAGAATTGTCAATTTGACAAATTGTACCGCATCTGTATTTTGCACAACTGTATTGTCGAAAAAACTATTTATAAAATTATAATAATTCCTATTAAAAAACTAGTTTTAGATAGTTATACTTGACCTATTTTAGTACTGTATTGTAAAACCAAGATTTATACAAGCACGTAAATAAAAATACTAACCTGAACTGACCAAAGTCTCGGGCATATTAAAGCCCATACCTAGCAATACTGTTCCAAATGGGTCCATTAAGATTCGCGTTTGATTGGCTTTAACTAGCGAATTGCAATCCTTAATAACTCTACTATTCTCGGAATTACTCTAAAATATAAATGCACATTTTTATTAATAATTAGATAGCTTATTAGGCGTATGTTATGAAGATTTTTGAAAGAACGATTTTCCAATCTAATTCAAGATTTTTTATAGAGTTAATTGAGCTCCCAACACATGTAAGCAAAATATTTGCAGTTTCAAACTTGTGATAGTAGGCGCGGACGATATCACAGCTGGTTAAATAGAACATATTTATCTGCTCCTTTGATTTATCATTCTTTGAAATTTAATAATAACCGTTTTTACCTAACCAGTACTATTTTAAATCTATTAATCCAGCGTTTGTTTAAACCATAGTTAGTTATTTAAACCTGAGTTAAAATATAATATATTCAGCGTCATTTAGGGATTTTTATTTTTATTGCAATATATTTTGTTTGAGTCTGTCAAAAAAAAAGTTTGGCGATGACGTATTGGAGCATAATGGTTCCGAGTTATCCTAAAAGCGAAAAAGACGCCCGCATGACATGGACAAGTTTGAGGTGTGTACCAGCCACAACTCCAATTACTTCTGGGAAGCCGATAATTTCGTTAAAACACTGCTTGCGTGTTAACCCTTTCAGGAACTGTGGCCATTTTAGTAAACACAGGAGAAAGCCCGGCCATTATCCTTAAAAAACGTGCTCTTATTTATTCTACACGCCGTAGATTCGTGAAATTATAAAATTTGGCACTGCAATTTAAATGTCCTGAACTTGAGTAAATCTTGGAGTATCCAGGAGCTGATTCAAAGGAGAGACACTATTGTTTCTAAAATAGAGAAACACTTTTCAATTTAATGTATAATCTATTTACGCCTCAGCTTCGACTCATAAACTGAAAAATTTGGATTTTTGGACGTCGTTTGAACTATCGAAACCTGGACTCAATTCTCTTCAAGTAGATACCAACCATTTACTCGAGCGATACCAGGAAACTAGCAACTAGTCTGTTGTAATAAACCCACGTCTATGCGCACCTTTGAGTAATCCGTCAGAAAAAAAGATTTCGTTTTTTTTTGGTACTCAGCCAAAACATAACAAACAGTCGATGCAGCCAACTTGAAGGTACAAGTATTTTGGCTTGCTGGAAAAATTGAAATATAAACAAAAAACTAGGGGCACAAAGTTTTGTTAGGCATTAAAAATGACTTCAATTAGTTCATAACTATGTGTACAACTAGTAAATCTTAATAGTTGACGAATGTGAAATATAATTAAATCGATAGTGTTTAAAAATGCATTTTTGTATAAATGTGCTCTCACCTCAGGCATGGGAGACCATAATTTAACGCTAACATCGATTCCACTAGATGCTATGAGACAAGTACTTGGATGTGGTTGAAGGCAATTTACAATAGACATATCACCAACGAGTGCGTTTATGATTGATTGCGTTTTTTTCTCCCATATAAATATAACTCCTGTGTCTGAGCCTGCGCAAATAAAGTCGTTTCCTGCAAGTAAATTAATAAATAACTATTAATTTTTAGCCGAAACCCCATTCATTCAATACAATTCATAATGTTTATAATTTACCTAAGAAGTTGGCCTCCATAATATCTGTAGTAGTATTACAGTGACCAAGAAATCTCAGATCATAATCCATTGAATCTAATCGTCTTTCGACTTCTGCTTGCTCCGGCTCAATAGCTTCCAGAGTATCAATGTCTTTCTTCCTGCCTTTTGATTGCTGTATAGAGTCCAATATTTTTTGTGCCTAATTACAAGGGAACAAGTGAGAAAAAATTATATGAAACTAAAAATAACTAAGTGAACGAAAATTAACAAAAGTTAAATTTTTGAAATGCCATCATTATCTAGATATATCAACGCTCGATTTGAAACTAATAGATCCCGTCAGGTATAGCTAACTGTTTACATGTTCCTTATCGGTATTGTGATTGATGAGTTTTCTCTTTCTAGGCGTGTTATTTTGGCTGTACTTCTTCATTTAAGATAGTGCTAGTTTTTTTTAATATTAATACTAATAAGCCATTTATTTTAACTTAATCTACATTTCAAAATACAAAACACACACATCCACTGATAGTCACTTTGTTTGCAATATTATAGTACATCGGTCATGATTCTGTGCATACTTTTTTATGACGTTTTCTACTGTTCTACACCCAAGGCTCAGTTTTCAGTTCTTATGTACGTGCATCAACGATACTACGAAGTACAACCCCGAAGTTGCACACCATAAGTCCACACTGTCTTGGGGACTTGATTATATAACAATAGTTTGTTATACACTGTGAGAGCTAAGTTTCTACCCAATAGCTAGATAGCAAGAGCAACATCTTTCTGTACTTCAGATTCAAATCTTCCTGTTTCTTCTTGACGTGTGGTTTCTACCTGAGTTTTCTATCAAGGGTCGTGCTTCAATATTTAGCTGTATTCCCATATAGTACAATATTGTCATTAATGTATACTGGTTTGTAGTCTAATCGCTTGTTGGTGAAGTGGATATGGACCGATTTCTTTTAATTAAATTTGATGTGCCATTTCAAGGTCCAACGTTGAGCCTCATCTGTAGCTGCTTGGAGTTTTTCAGTAAATTGCATATTGCTGTCGCCATTTCAATACTTGTGAGTATTGAACTGGAAGGAACATTTCAAGTTTATGGATCAAGCCTTAGTGCCAGACTTTATCGAAAGCCTGTTCAACATCCAGGAATATAGCTGAGCAAAATCTTCTAGCGAGTTTTCTATAGTATTGACGATTCTATGGACTTGATCAATTGTAGAGTGTTGACTCCTGAAACCGAACTGATGATCCGGAATAATCTGTTGAACTTCAATTAATGGTTTTAGTCTTTTCAATAGAAGTTTTTCAAATAGTTTGGACATAACTGGTAGTAGTTATATTGGACGATATGGTATTGCTTCATGAGGTGGTTTTCCAGGTTTTGGAATCATTATCACTTCTTCCACCGTCCATAACTGTGGCACGCGCTGAAGAAGGCATTCTTTGAGGATCTGTCCTGGGATTAAGTCGACTCCAGGAGCTTTTTTCGGATTGATATTAATTTTCATTCGTTAATAACTTCAGTCAGTAGAGGTGTGATAAACGGTGATTTTTTTGTAACAACACGGTTACAACGTTCCCGTTTTACCTTGGAAATAGGTTTCAAAATTCGGTTTCAAAAGGAACATGTTACTTTTTAAATTTTTCATTAAAAATGCAGAATGATGATGATAGTAGAATGATAGTCAGAAAACGCATGTTCCACAGCTGAACTAGGGATGTCATATCGAATACGGTACAGATCAATCGGGGTGAAATAGGACTGGGGGATATTCTCGTACAAGTTCATTTGACGCACCTTGTAAAAAGGTACTATAGGCCTCATATTCCCGTCAGTCACGGTCCTAGAGTCATTAGTGGTATACATTTTCGGTGCATAAATTCGCCGTACAACACAAGGTGAGGATTTTATAAATTGTATTTTTTTCTTGGAATTTGAAAACTATAAAACAGCCTGTTCCAGACAAGAGAATACTACTCGCAGTTTTGACACACAAGAGAATTAGAAAATCCAAATGAGTTATTTTTTCTGATTAGCTCTATTATTAGTAAACCCATGGCAATTTCATTAGAAAATATTGTTTTTGTCTTAAATAATTTCATTTTAGTTAAAAAAGTCATTTTATAGAGGTGATGGCGGACACCATGGTTAGGCAATCGGTATTAATTTTAAGAAATACAATAAAGAAACCGGCTACAGGGCACTTAAGAATGTTCGACAAAGCAGAAAAAGTTTAAGACTTTAAAGTAAAAACTTATTGCTTCACGATAATTTACCTGTTTGTCAGAAGTGAAAGCAGGATCCAATTGGCAAAGATAATCGTACCAACGGGTCGCATCTTCAAGCCAACCGAGCTCTACTAGACACCTAATTAAATAAACGTAGGCTTTTCTTTCATGTGGCCATTTCTGGATGACATGCAAAAAATCCCTTGCTGCGGCATACAGGTCTCCCATCCTTGAAATGAATGATAAAATAAATGATGAAGGTTATGAAGCATGAAGAATAGTTATTACGGTCACATCCGAGGAAACGTATTAAACTTAGAAATGTGATCTATCCCAATAATAGTTTTTAAATTTGAGTAATGATTTTTGGACATATCGCTAACCACAGGGCTAAATTTCAGCGATATTTTCATTGCAATATTTTTCATTATTATAACTACTGTTTTTTGTCCTGCCTTTCAGGTAAGGTTCCCGCTTACATGGTGCAATGTCCGTAATATACTAACAAAATAACATTTTTCTTCTTTTCAACTCACAATATAATCTCCGAATATCCGATACCGTAAGAGATACGAAGTCGGATAAATTAGGCAAACGTCGCTCAATACCGCAAGGAAGAGGAACATATACATGGCGTTTTAAATAAAGAAGTATTTCCTAAATTTTTGAGCCATTTATATATTTATACATATTGTCGCGCTCACAAAAGGCTACCCGCTATTTGCGCTTCGACCGTTCTATTTCCAAAGAAACTGGTTCCGGGGTTTTCAAATGCTGATCAATTTATTTTAAACAGATTTGGTTCGTTACAACTTACAATTTGTCTTTTTGTTAAATCAAAACTGAAACTTCTCTAAACTGTCAAGAGTCACCAAAACCGAGACCTTTTCTACCTGCTCTCTTAACAATAGTTTCCATAGTTTCCGACATACTCCCGCCTGATGAACTAAGTGTACGATAATGTTTCTCAACAACAAAAGAAAACATCGAAACTTTACAACACAATAATAAGAACAAAACTAAACATTTATGTTCAAGAAATAACGACAGGGATATTTTTCTACAAATATCTAACAGGCATTTTAGACGTGCGACCACTACGTGTAACCTCTACTTTTTGCCCTGACAACTTATTATTACACAGGGAGACAAACCGCTACAGCTAGCTTTCAGAGAAGCACCAGATTCTCTGATATTAACAATCGGAGGAAGTCCTTCCGGGATGTCTGTCGTCTGTCTTTCCTCGTCTTTCACATCATCTTCGGTAGCTCGATATTCTAAGAGGAGAAGCTTCTGGATGGGTCTCAACAGCTCTCCACGAACTGTTTTAACTTTTACTACCCGAACTTGACCATCTTGACCTGATAACAGTTCTTGAACTCGACCCATTGGCCAGTCAATACGTTTTGTGTTGTCATCCCCGATTAAAATCACGTCTCCCATCTTGACGGCACGACTACTCCGCTTCTGGTTCAAAATCTTTCCGTAAGTTATCCCGCAATCTTTGTTTGTTCCGCGCACTACGTGATAGGTCCTTTTCGATTTCGTCGCAATCAGGCATATTATCATTAGCTAAG